GAATGAAAAGTGCCGCCAGCCTTTCCTTTGTACTTGTAATAAAAGCATTTGTGAAGAAATTCACAGTGCACATGCCATTTGGCATCGCTGGAACGAAATATGAGTGCACCCTAATTAAAATCGTAAAATTTCTGACAATGAGCACCGCCATTCACTCCAACTATCACCCCTGCACCGCTGACCCTCATTCCAAAAGAATGTGCTGGTTGGGCGACATAACAGGTTACCGCTACTGTTTATTCCAAAAACATTGTGCGTCTTTCGGTATTAATTTATCTCAAAACCCAGCATTTTAATTTCTCAGAAACGATCATTGCGGGAAAATTGTGGGCCGGGACTAAGATTTTTGAACGATCGATGCGATAAAACGATAGTTCGAGGAACGATAGAAGCGGGAAAATGTAACATTATTTTATATGGGATGTATCCGGGACCGAACAAAACGGACGATGCATCCGGGAAAACGATAGTTCCGGGAACGATGGATAGAGGTTTCACTGTATACACATTATAACATGGAATATTAACCTTGTGAATATACATCTTTGTGGTACAGTCTATAATCATCACTAAATAAGATTTGCGGACACTTGGTTGAGAAGCATTTTATAGTGTGAGTTTATTGCAGTGGATACTTTCATTAAGATAATGATCATTCTTTCTGGTCTCCATCTTGAGCCCACCAAGTAGGGTGGCACTGCATGAGGTAGATTCTGCTGCTCTCAAAAGTAGGATGATGGCAGAAATTATGGACCTTACCTCAAACCCGTTGTTTACAGGATTTTAATGATGAAAAATTGTTGATGGGGATCCTGAAAAAGATCCTCCTCACCAGAAAGTGGCTAACCTGTGAGACTTGTGGGGACAGCAAGCGGAGTGTTGTGGGCTTCATCAGTCACCTGCAGTGCTGCCAGAAGTCTGTCCAGGTGAGAGCTCTTATGCTGTACCTCTTTTCCAGTCACAGAACATCTTTCTATCTCTCCTGTAGTCAGTCTTTGAATGTCAGTATAATACAACTATAGAAAACAAGATAGTAGATCTTTCATACAGGCACTGAATGGCTGCATACACATTTTCTGTCAGATGTTCAATATGTAATAAACCTTGAATCCATTGTTATCAGATAACTTGAAGTCTGATCTAATTTTAAATAAGGCAATAGCATTTACCTTCTTGGAAGATACAATTTTGTTAACTTGAATTTTAGTTGATTTAGACAGGTAGAAATATTTCACATTTTCATTTTATATCTGTATTGAAATTGTGGAAAGTAGTAGATCTTAAACTGAAAGACAGCTTAATTACTACAGTTGTACTCAGCAGTAGGATGGTTTGAGGGTGTACAGGGTCTGTTTCCATCTGTTGCTCACAACTGTCACTTCAGCTGTATGATTTTATACTAGCTCATTATATTGCTCACATGGTGAGTAACTGTAATATGTAGTAAGTTATTTCTGCAGTGAAACCAGGATGATTCAAATTTATTATTCATAATTTATGACTTTGATGGTCCCATCAACTAGTGCACAACAAAGGAATGGTCTGTTACCCAGCAACGTTGAAGATGAGGACAGAGATTGTTCTTGAAACGTTGGCAGAAGATTTGGTTTGTTCATCTTTCAGGCACCTGACGCTGCTTGTAGCCTGAGAGTCTTTCATCAACTTCAGTCACCACAAAAGCTTCACTTTATACATAACATTACGTTTTTCATATCTAGAAAAACATTAGTAGCTTCTAATTCCTATGTTCATAATTAAATGAAGGAACTAAATTTTGAATGAAATATAAATTAAATGTAATGGAAATTTATTTGTGTATAATCATGTAAACATGAAATAAAGACTAACAGAAATGTGCAGTCAGTCATGTTATCAGCTGCTTGATTTACTACAGTCAGTAAATAAATAAATCTCTTGACATTAAGTAACAAGTGTTGCTTAACACATAAGTATCTGTCATATCACAGAAGGTTTGAAGTTTGAAATGAAAATGGCAGAGAGATAATCATCCTTTTTCCCTGCCCCGTAGGAACGCCTAATGTTGAGGGTGGAGTGCACGATTTGTAAAAGGATAATGCTGCCTGTAAGTCTAAAAGTTCACATGTCAACTGTCCACAAGAACCCGAAGGCAGAGGTCATGACACTGGAGGAAATGGAAGTGCAGTGCAAAATGAAGAGGGCTGCTGCCACAAAGTGAGTCTCACAGTCTCCTTGGAAAATACTTTGCATTGTTTAATGTGTAGATATGATAAAATCAGGCCCAGTAAAGGTTGATTGCCACTTATTTTTAAGTCATAACCACAGAAGAATTGTTAGGGTAGTTGAAAATTTTATGATGGGTTGGGTGTATTATTCAGGTGTGAGTAGCAAGAATACATTCATATTTCTGGTGAGGAAGCTTTCTAGAAAGTGTAAAAAATGATTTCGAAAACAAAGCCAAAGATCCACCACCAAGATTTTCATTCCTTTTACTTGTTGACAGATCTGTGTTTCATTTGATCACCATATTTTTTTGTGTTTTAGACTAAATGGGCAAAAACAAAAATGATATCACCATACATAATACCTTATGTTTATGAACATAAGCCATGTGCTTATATAAACTGCACCTGACTGCTATAAAGAAAATAAAAACAAATAAAATTTTATTTACAAGTTGCTCATAAATTTGAAGTAACATTTTCCCTTCATCATGAGTCAGATTTAATTTTTTTTGTAAGTTCAAGTCTTTGGGGTTAAGTGTTTTTGTGGCAACTAATTGTGCTGCACATACTGTCACACATTGCCACGTGGTCTCATGAAAGTACAGTTTCGAGTAGAGTAGTTACCAAATATTTGTGGCGACTGTTTAAATGAGAGAGAAAAACAGACCAAAATGGAGATACAGAGCATACATCAACTTTGGCTATTGCTTATGTTCATTAGGCCAAGGATGATGTTTTTGGAATGTAGTGTACATTCCCTTCTGTATTGAATGTCACATTTGTTTGTTCTAATTCAGTAATTTGCATAAGTGGCAGCCATGCAAACCTCTAAAGGGGAGATGGTTAATGTAGAGCTCTAAATTTTGTAATGCATTAAACCTCTGGAATTTGCAAATTATGTTCTCCATATTTTTATGTCAAATATAAAACTGCATGGTAAATATTCAGGCTCTGTATTTACTGTTTCCTTTGAATGTGAAACTTTATGATCCATTGTACTTTGACATGTAAAATATATTGTGAGGGTTGATCATAATTCACACCTGTGGACTTTATACCAAACAGTTATATATGCATATGTATTTATGTTAGAAATTGCAAACATGAAAATGTCTCTCACTTAGGGCTACGTTTTAAGTTATTGTAAACCTATTGTAATTGAAATAACACACAAAGATGTTTGACTGATGTATAGCATACAGTGTAACTGCAATAGAATTAGTATGGCTTACAATGAGAATTTAATTATAACAAGAAAACCATCAGCACTATTCATTTGTTAATGACACATACACAAAAAGTGCTATGTAAAATCATGGCTTTTTGTAGCACCTTCATAATAATGAATGTTTTTTAACTAGCTGGGAATATTTTTGATAACATTTTTCACATACATTTTTTTAGGTTACAAGTAAAAATTAGAAGTAACATTTTTCTAAATTGTATACATTTTCATGAAATCAGAGTTGCACTCTATGTTGGCATCATGGTAAATGTGGAGAGTGGACATCTAAGTATCCAAGAGTTCTTGTTCCTGCAGTGAACCATAGTCCTTATTTAAGATGTGTACTTTGCAGAGCAGTGTCACTTATGCAGGAGTTTATCGGAGAAGAAGAAGTAGTAGAAGGCACTGAGAAGCCAACAAAACATTCAGTAAGTAATATATTATAACTTCTCCGTAGTTACAATACACCAGAATGTTATTTTGATTGGTTTAGTGTTGACAACTGCAATTATTATTTACAGTGTTGTTGTAACTCATCCAGTAGGATGTTTTTATAATTTTTGTGTCTATTTGCGTACAAGTTGCAAGTGGTGCAGGCATTATGCCAGATGATAGGGTAACTGATCATGAATTTGCTGTGACCGTGCTTGAAAAACTGGATGTAGACAACAAATTCCTGAGGGAAATCATGTTCTCTGACAAGGCTACATTCCACATTTCAGGTAGGGTAAACAAACAGAATGTATGCATCTGGAGATCAGAACACCCTCATGCTACAGTGGAGCACATTAGAGACATCCGCAAAGTTATTTTATGTTGTGGCGTGTTGCACAATTGTTTTATTGGACCCTTTTTCTTTGCCATTGTGACTGTGACATCCAGCAGTTACCTGAATGTGCTAGGCAACTTTGTCTACCCACAGTTACAGGCACTGTAGCCTGCCTCATTCTTCCAACAAGACTACAAACCACCACACTGGAGCTTGATTGTGTGTGCATCTCTTAATCAGCTTTTCTCATACCGATGGATTGACTGTGATGGTCCCATCTCTTGCCCGGCCCAATCACTGGATATCACACCCTGTGATATTTATTTTTCTATGGTGGGGGGGGGGGGAATATGTAAAGACTGTACCTAACTCTGGTGACTGGTTTGAGTTATTTGAAGGACAGAATTGCAGCTACTGTTGTATCAGTTGACGTTTACATGCTGCAGCATATGAGGTGCGATCGGAAAGTTTCAAGACTGCGCCTATAAAAACCCGTACACTTATCTCAGGTATTAAATTCATCCATCACCCTCGAAGTAGTTCCCCTGGGAGTGAACACAACGATCCCAGCGCCGCTGCCAAGCCTGGAAGCATCCCTGGAAATCTTTCTTTGTCAGCCTGTCAAGCACCATCTGCGATTCTGCCTGAATCTCTTCTATCATCTCAAATCTCCTTCCCTTTAGCTGAATTTTCGTCTTTGGGAAGAGGAAGAAGTCACACGGCAAATAAGGAGGGTGCAGGATGACGGCCATGGTGTTTGAGGCCAAAAACTGCCGAACTTTGAGGGCGGTTGTCACGATGCGTCGCAGTTCCAGTTGCTTCTATAATTATTGGAATTACTTTTGCCTTCACTTTCCATATTCACTGTATTTCAGTGAGATGGTCCTTGTATTTCAAGATATTCTCTGCTTCCTTCATAATTACATTTCTGTCAGTTATACTAATGTGTCTTCCCTAGCTTTGTCCCTACTTTCCTGCATATGTTAAAATGTAACTGAGTACAGACCTGATCATGTCGTACTACTACTACAACTACAACAACAACAGCAAGTCCCATCAGACAACCTTAACCATATCTTTACAACTCTTTTCCTGCATCTTTCATGATGTCGTACATCCCATCTGAAAGTATGTAAACTCTTCATTTGATATAGTATCATTACATGTAGTTTGAGTCAAACAGGCAACCATTTTCAATACTGAACAGGAAACTGTTCATGTTGAACTTGTTCATTCACTGGACTCTCTTAAGTTTTGTTGTTTTTGCAGGATGGGTTGTACTTAAAAGTCGATTCACATAATGTCACCAATTTTACTCGTGGTTCATGGAAACGCTCAATAACAATGTTCGGTAAAGTTTCCTGTCGTCATGTTGGCTGCAGTGTTGAATCAATAACATTTGAAGAGATGTTGGAACACGATTTGAATTGTCCAATGGCTCCAAAAAAGGTAAATATCACAAGGTGTAGATGTAAGATGTTGATCTCTCATGCTGAAGTTCTCAGGTCCAAGAAAAGTTGGTTCCTTAGCATTTCCCCACTTTTCTCCTTCATTTCCCAGTCATGTAAAATGTTTCATGTTGCTGGATCTACCTCAGCCAATTGTGAAAGGTTCATTTGTTATGCATACAGTTGGCTCGACACCATATCCTGCCTGTGTATGCTATACTAAGCCATATGAATCCATTTCACAGCCTATTTCCATAAGATTACTTTTAACCATTTCCCTTATTATCACCAATTAACTTGGGTCAAAAACCTTACTAAGAATATATTAATCCAAGATAACTTCTGGCATTTAGAATTTTGTGGCTATTAATTATCTGGATTTCATTAGTTCCTAGCAGTAAATTGGTTGATTCTTATGAGATGCAACCTGTGTTTAGTACTTCACTGACAGTATCTCTGAAATATTTCTTGTACTTCTTTGTCTTAATTCTTTATGATGCTCATATATTATGCAAATGTAAGTCACATTAATATTTCAAATTTGCATCATCTAAACTTAGTGTGGGACATAATATTCAGAATATTTTTTTGTGTGGTGAGATAATTGGTCTGTATCACAGTTGATTAGTAACTGTTGCATTATGATTTTTGAGGTGCAAAATGATGCAAATTGTTAGTAATACATGAGCATTTGTTTCACAGAATGATGACTGTAACTGCTGAAATAAAGAGAGGTAAAACAACTTTATTTGGAAGGTCACATCATTGTCACTGATTTGACACTAGTGTGAATTGTAGGATTTGAGGTTTTTACGATGGTGAGTCTGAAGATGGTTGTCTTCACTAGTGTGAATTGTTTCCCTTGAACAGTAACTGGTACATTTTGGACACAGGGATGAAAACATTTTAAAAGCTTAGACTTACCAGTTTCCAATTGGATTGGCTGTATGAAATAATCTACCTACTTACTAGTACTACTTCTATTAGTCTCTTCCTCCTTCTCTCCATGATTTTAATGGCCATGTACACAGATATCATGTCAATGTTATGCATGAAAGCTGTGTGGGTGCATTATATAATTACTTAAGTGAGTGGTTGAAAATTGGCTGCATTGAGTAGGAAATATTATCCTCTGCCTGAAACAAGTTAACAGTGTGGCCTTTATCAACCACGCTGATGGAAGTTAGTACACATTCTGTCTTCGTCTTTTTGTCTCTCTTTTTCTTTTATTTAATGGTGGTCATCCTCAGGCAACTGTGGCTACTCTGTTCGAAATTTCATTTTTTCAAGACCAGCAGATAAGAATCAAGATGACTCTGAAAGTGTGATCTTAAGGAGACAAAATGCAAGATTTTAATTTATTACTTTTACAGATTAATTATATAAATCATGAGTCAGGTGGCTCAGTGAATATAGTGATGGGCTATGGGCTGAATGATTAGGGTTTGATCCCCAATAAAGGCAGAGGATTTTCTTTTAGCCTCTATGTCCAGACCGTCTTTGGGGCCCACCCAGCCTCCTGTCCAATGGATACCAGGGTCCTTTCCTGGGGATAAAGCATGGCCAGGGCGTGATGCTGACCACTAACCCCCTTCTAGTGGCAAGGTTGAGAATGAGTAGTAGCTATATCGCCTCTCCCTGAAATGCCAACATTGGCATGTAACAAGGCGGAAAATAAAATGTATATAAATCAAAGGCATAAATATTATATAGTGCAACTATAGAAATTTATGCAATATGTGGGATAGCTTATAAAACCACATTACTTTACAGAAAATAGTTTGTTGTGATTGTCTGATGTTTTGAGTATCCCCCCCCCCCATTTGAATTTGCTTCCCAGGGTTATGCGTGTCGAGCATGCAGCTTCCACTGTGAAACTGAGCCGGAAATGATGAACCATGTGACATCAGCACACGGAAGCTCTCCAGAGTGTTCTGACAGCTCTGACTTAGATTCATCTGGGGAAGATGAACTGGGACTAGAGGATGATAAGAAATCTCGGAGAAAGAAGTCAAGGTCATCTTCATCTGCTGCCCAAAAATATAAAATGCATGGGAAGATGAGTGAGTTAAAGTATCATACCATGTTTTTAACCAATGTAAGACACTACAGGGAATTGATTGTGCAAATCTGCTACAAAAGCAGTGCAGTATTTGTTAGCCTGGCACCTTTGCAAAAGTGATGATAAAAAATAGTCAAATTTCTCAAAGTTTTGTAAGGCATGACGAAGATTAATACCAAAGAAATTGTTTGAATCGCTTTTATTTATCTAGCTTCCCACTGTCTAATTATTTCAGCACTTTCTGTTTACAATATTTTTTTGGTGTTTACCTATGTGAAATAAACATAAACTTGTTTTTATGTACCCTCTGTGCCAGTGTTTTTGAGTAAGGAATGCACACTCTTTTACTGAGTACATCTCTCCATCACAAGAACAAAACACAGACTGGCTAGTGCATTCTCCTCACAAAACATCCCAAGAATTGGTGGAACTGTCCTCTGCAGTGTGAGGGGTGACTGGATGCCATTTCACAAGGACTGAGTTATGCTACATATGTACCTATATTTGATCACTTGTAGTACATAAATGTTTTTATTGCTGAAAGTCCTGGGCCACTAGTGGGAGGATTGTCCTGTAGAAGCTTAAAATTTAAAGTAAAGAAAATTATATAGATACTTATAGTAACTTTGTTACATTTCAGAAATTGCCAACAAAATGAAATTCTTATCGACGGAATTAAGTGGTCCTGTGTTTGGTGACAAACCATATGTGCCTGCAGTGAAGTGGACATTGAGTTTGTAAGTAATCATTTTCTTTTTCTTCTTGCCCCATCTCTATTCATAAAGCCATAATCTTAACTCATGTTTTGAAGACAAGTATACGTAATAGAACTGATGTTTACATATTTCTTGTGTTGGTTGTATCATCACATGCCTTCCATTCATCTTTATCATTGTATAAATGTTCATTCCTCTTCAGCTTTGCACCTGTTATTACCATTATTTACAGTGTTTGTTTACTCAGTCCTTCTGCTCACTTATTTGCCTTTGCAGCACTACGTTTTAGTATATTTCTGTGTCTTTGATAAATTTGCTTGAAATTAAAGCAGGGTATTTTTTTTCATTTTTATTACATGTCCAGACTACTTGATTATTTTTATACAAGTAAAAGTATCTGCCCTGGTTTTTCCCCCTTGTATCTGCATTTTGTCAATGATTACTATCATTCTTGTTCTGTGTACAGCTTCATGATCTATATAAACAATAAGGATTTTCCAACTAAGATGTTTCTGTTTCTGTGAATATGAAATATTCCACTTTCATAGTACGTATATTATGTTATAAGAAGCCCAATCTTAATTTTTTGTGAGATATATTCTTGATCTGTTTTATTGGTTTTAAAATAACAGATTTTTCTTCATTGGGATCCATTAGCAAGCTGCTTGTCTCTCTTTTCCTTACTTTAGTTTCAGATGTACTTAATAAAACATGTATGGTGACGTATTACGTACACATCTACTTTAGTATGAGTGATATTGAAACCCCCTGAGTTCTGCCATTTGAAATCCTAAAATATCCTTGCTGATGGGTATTGTATTTAAAACTTGTAGGTAGCAGATGCCAGTTAATGCAGTGACAATTATTTTCAGTCAGTTGGAGAACTACATGCAGTCACTGTACCCTAACATTCATTCCACACGTGATGACTGGGTAGCTTTAACTTCAGCAGAGGCTATGCAGTACCTGCCCCACACGAAGGAGTCAGTTCAGATCTCCCATCTCTCCATGAAGCACAAGGTTCTGGTGCAGCCGCAGAAAGCAGTGAAGCAGTGGCATCGCCTCGCGCTTTTTGAAGCTGAAGTCATTGATGGTAAGGAACCGAAGTGTACCATCAGACATGTAGCAAAGTGTATTAGAAAATAAAATTAATGAAAGTAGAAGTATCTTACAGTTCTGCAGTGCTAAGCGAGATAAACTAAACGGAATCAAGGTATCATTAAACAAGGAGTTTGACTTTTATTCTTCTCCTGGTGTTAAAGTAGATGTGGCGGACTGAAAGTGGAGTTTAGAAATGATTATTGATAAATGATTATGTAATTTTGGTGCAAAGACCTTCAGGAAAGCAGCTACTAGGGAAATACACTTTGAAGATTATGTAATAATTAAAAGTTAGTATAGTATTTAGGAAATTACATTGAAACTCCCCCAGATTCTGGTAAGGAGATTAATGTAGAAGTAAATGCAAAGTAATAAGTTTAGTTCATGTCTGCTCACCAAAACAAGGAGCAAGATCTTCACACGATAGCAAATCTTTCAAAATTGTGGCAGACTTCAAATATTTGGGAATAGTGATTTGCGAAATGTGCGGTAAAATCTTATGAAATGAATTATTTTGGGACGACAAGTGATATTAATAACAACAAAAATTTCATTATATAGTAGGGCACCGCATATACGGCAGGTTAGGGACCAGACCCCCGCCGAAAAGCGTATCTTTGCCTTTTTTCAATTGCAAATGCATATCAAAGCCTAATAAGATGTTTACACTATCATATAGTAAGTGCACAATAGCGCTAGGCCTAAAAAAACGATATGAAAGTAAAATGAATATCAGTAGTAGCTGTAAACAGACTGAATCGGCGACGAGAAAATGGTGCTGGACGCACTTCTCTGACTCAGCTGGTAAGCGCGTGGGGCATATGCACGCAATTGAAAAGCGCTGTATTAGCGGATCACCATGAAAAACCATAAAAAATTTCTGTAACATCTGTTTGTTGCTGGGAAGAACTGCTATCCATTGCAGCAATGGCCATGTGACTGCTTCTTGCCTGCACCTGAGCCAGCTTAAGCTAACCTGCCATTACTACTCATGTGACCATACTAGAGGACAAGGGTCATGTTCTGTCTCATTTGTTGTCTCAGCCTCCTTGTGTAACAGTGGCGTGAATTATTTCAGAAATTGGAGTAATTTGTTTGTGGTGGTCTAGATAATATGGAGGAACCTGAAATGGATCTGTTGGCTAGTTTTCTAACTTCATTATTCAGTGTCTTTACATGCAGCTAATTATGGGAAATAAGTGTGCACTGCTTGAGTTGGGATCAGAGTAACACTCTATGGCTGCTTCTGAGTGATTGTTTCTTGTTTAAAGTCACTGCTCATGTCTGATTTATTACATGAAGATATAAAAAATTAAACATAATAAGATATCAATACTGTAAGAGAAAATGACTGATCACTTGCTCACCCTTTTATTTCTAGCAGCGAATGGTATTTTGAATTTCATGCAGTGTTATGTAAAACAAAACAAAACTTAGAACAGTCATCCCAGACAGTGTTACTGGATGTTTCCTTGCTCACACCTACCATAGCTTATTAGGATATACAGCAGCCTCACCCACATGGTCAGCGCACTACATTCCTCTTTTAGAGAAAAGGTCAAAATATTTTCACATCATGCTAACCTTGGCTGCCTACTGCCCACATAGCAGTTCCCTGTTGCTAAGAGAAGTATCAGAATTTTTTTCATGTGAATGCAAGTGATCACTCATTTTCTGTTCTACACATCACACCGTCAGTTCCAATACAACATAAAGCAATAAAATTGCACTGGAATTCTAAAACCATTTCATGCCCAGTGTTAAACCTAATTGTACTTTACATTAAGAATTAAAATCCTTCTTTTGTCATTACTGTTTTTGAAAAAGTCAGTACATTTTTTATTGATTATCCTTCGTAATACAGGTATTTAAATTATCCTTAACCTGCCGTGTATCAAGGCTTACTCGTGACCTAGCTGGCTGTGTGTTTCAGTAGCATATGGTTAATTGTTTAATTCAGAACTTAAAATTCAGCTGGTGGCATACAGTACACATGTTACAGGTGTTATTGTTACTGGATTTAACTGTCTTTAATAAGTACCAAGGTGACAGTTTGTGGGTGCACTGAGCACCGCATAAAAGAATATATGTGGGAACAGATGTCTTGGTGGAGTTAAAAATGACTGCTGTGGCAAGAACAACTGAAAAAATGAGTGTCTGTTGTAGGGACACCAATTTTTTTTGCTGGTGGACCAGTATGGGCTACTGCTTGGTGTCCAATTCCTCTACACAAAGCTATTTATCGCACTGCACACATAAACCAGTACCTCGCTGTGAGTTGTCACAATGGAATGGAGGATACATACATCAGTGGTCAGAGATACTCACATAATGGGCTCATCCAAATCTGGGACTTCGGACATCTAGACAACCAGCAGTGAGTCAAATATAATTCAATTTGGAATTTATATTATCACAAAAGAAATCTCTAGATTTGGTTCAAGAGTGCTCATCTCTTGCTCAGCTAGTTTAGTTGTGCAATATTGTTTGAGACAACTGTAAAATAAATTATTTTCATTCTCATGTATTTTGTTTGAAGACCTTGCACCACTCCAAAACTTGCCCTGGGAATTGCTCATAATTGTGGTGCAGTGTGGTGCATGGAGTGGTGCCCCTCTGGCTGTTATGATACTCCAGATATGAAGGTGCCTAATCACAGGCTGAGGCGACTTGGTCTGTTGGGAGCTGCATGTTCTGATGGCTCGGTGCGAATATTTTCTGTATGCTTTCCATCTGAGGTGCAGGACAAGATCTCTGACAGGTGAGATATCTTCTGCATAATGTCAAAGTTTTTAGATCATATATGGTTTTGACTTCCATTCCATATAAAATTTTTATATATGAAGTAAATAGACATTATTAAATTATATTTGCCAAATAATGTTCACTAAAAAACATAAATACATAAATATTTACCATTGAAGCAGGAACATCTGTGTTTCAGTCCTCCGATATTCAAGGTGGAGCCGGTTCGAACACTGGTGCTGGATGATAGGCAGACATGTCTTCTGGCAGACTCTGAATGGCAGTGCACTCGTTTGTCCTGGTATAAGGGCAAGGGTCACAGGTAGAACAGCCATCACTTTTACCTTTCACTTACACTTAATAGGCTTATAACATTCATTGGAATAGTGTATCACAATTTTGATGTAAATCACTGTAAGTTTGGACATTGCCTTCAGCAGCAGTGTTCAAAATATGATACAGAATATCATACAGTGCCATGAGTGATGGGGCTTGAATCACCAGCTTTTTATGTTCTGACACTGGTCATTTCTGGTTCAGCTAGGTTAGGTCAGTTAAACACACGCATTATGAAAGAGCATACACCACATTCTGGAACTACCCCCACATAACAGTTCACTGTTGTAATTATGTCATATAAATTAGTATATTTGTATTGTTCATATTAACATTGTTTCAGTTAAGTTATTTGCATTATGTCAAAGAGTGGTATGAACATGTGAACCATTCAATAAAAACTGTACTGCTTGTGTGGGGGGTGTGGAGAGATGACAATTGGTTTTTACATCACAGCAGATGCTCCTGGAATCTTCAGTACTCACACTTAGATTCTGGAATGCACACTTTCTTTTGGACCAAGGAGAGGCACAGAGGGTGGGTTAGTGGTACCATTACAGACTGTCTATTATAAATTGTTTTGCAAGGAAAAGTGCAAATGCAGACAGAAAAGTTGCAGGTAGTTAGGAATAGCTCATTGCGATGAAGATTTCAGATAGAGTCATCACTGTATGCAACATTCATGTAACAAAAGAAACTAATGATGCTGATGATTTTGCTCATTATAGTGTGGTATTAGACAAATATAAAAGTATCAGAAGTTTTATGCAATATGCTTTTCATGTGTTTCTCTCTCTCTTCCCACCTCTTTTAAATGCTGTGTGAATCATCCACAGGATAATTGCTGGAAGTTTCACAAATGGTATGGTGGCTGTGTGGGACATGTCAACTGAATCACCACTGCTGATCAAGAGAACAGGCAAATCATGCACCATGTATCCATACCACTCCTTCCAGGCACATATTGGGGTGGTTTCAGGTATGATGACTGTCAGAGACCTGAGAATTTGTGTAATTTCTATTCAAAGTCAGTTAAGTTTAGTAGGGTGAAAGCACTGCTGTTACCTATTCATATACTTCGATGTTCATAAAGTTTGATACTTTCAGAGCTATAAGTAATTATTTCAAGCACTGATATGGTCTTAAAAATTTATAACATATTAACATATAGGAAGGAGATAATTAAGAAGATCCCTCGAACAGATCAGAAGATTCAGTTTTATAATGCTGATAACAGCCCAGTCAGGTCAGATGCTGGGAATGATGATAAATTATTCTAAACATGTTGCAAATTTTTCGGGGTATGAACTTGTAGTTTTATTTTAAAATGTTCTTTATTTATCCAAATACCACACACCCCTGAATAAGTTGTACATCCCAATTTTTATAGCATTTTTAAAAAATAAAATTTTTGAATGACATTAATACTAAGGTCAAAAGATGCTAAAATATATATTAATGTTGCTAGTCCTACATTAGAAATCTACCCAACCATTTGCACTCTTGAGTAACACTGAAGTAGCTTGAATAATTAAAGAGAGATATGAAGGAGTACGTAAATGAATTGTATGCTCTACTCCTGCTGTCAGTACTGTCTAAATTGATTCTGTCATTTTCAGTGTCCCAAACTGAACTATTCTCACAGCTATAAAACTGTGTGGAATCCCCCATTTGTTAGAACTTTTAACAAGACCAGTTGCTATTCTGATCCAGGCATACTTGGTCCATTCACATGGTTCTTGAATTTGTTTCTGTTCCACTGTAACACTACTCCCTGCTTGTTTTTACCTCTTATAATCTTAATTTTCAAACAGACTTTAAAATGTCATAGTCTGTTTGTTTCATTCATTTCCAGCACCTCTAATTACTGTTGACCCTAACAGCTCTGAAAACTTGTTGAAAATGAAAAAATTGTGTTGCCGAGATTGTTATATTTAGCAAGAAATGTCTTGCGTTGACTTGCAGTGGTTGACAATCCTTCCTGCTACAAAAATAGAGAAAGCTTACCCTTACAGTAGGTACAGACCATGTTGAAGAACTTACTGCTGCATTTTGTTTATTTCCAGATACAGCAGTTTATGGGGAAATTTTGGAAGTCACATTTCTTGCTTTGCCTACTTTGAGATATAACCCTCATAAATGATGCAGTGTCAGTTACTGTCTTATGTGTTCCAACACATAGTACTTTTTACTATAAAAATCCTGTTTTTATGCAGAGATTTAAAAAGATGTGTTCATGGTATTTGGATAAATACAGTGTTTTGTACTATGATTATTACAAGATTGAATGCAGTTTCACTAAAAATGTTGGAATATTGTTTAAGGCAGTGTAGTTGATGCTGTCATATGGTGTCATATGCTGTGCTGCTAAATGAAAACTGTCTAGCCAACACTTTGTGTTTGTCATGTGCAGCCATAGCACTGATCCCTCAGGATGATGGCCGCTACCTGATGACAGGCTCGTTCGATCGCTCCACCAAATATTGGGACCTGGAGGACACCAGTGCACCCATCACTGTGAAAAAAAGAGGGTCTGTTACTGATGGTGTGTGGCTCACTCATTGGGTGTCTGCTGTGAACTCATTTGACGACAGCTACTCGTAAGTGTCCAATACACTTTGGTGGAGAAGTTTATGGATTTCGTAGTCTGAATCAAGAGAAGGATGAAATATGATACAAACTTAACAAAAGCATGACTTACTCTAAAATCACATTTATAAGATTTCTCAGTAACTTCTTGACCTAATACTTATGGTATGTGAAACATGCAAGAATGTTAGCCACATTTTTTCCTCCGTAGCTGCATTTGCTAATACTATGGTATGGCTTAAAATTGGAAGATTTTTAATGGTGAGATAATTGGTTTATATTAAGATTGATTAGGAAATGTTGCATTATTGTTTTTGGCATGGAGAAACAATAAAATAGTTAAATAATAATAAATATACACAATATAAACATTTGTTTCATTGAAGAATGAATGAAAGAAACTATGAAATCATGAGAGGTTAAATGACTTTGTTTGGAAGGGCACATCATCATGGATTTCAGGTAGTTGAATGAGGTGTTGCACTTTAATGAAAACATGTTGGAAGGGTGCAAGAATGAAAACTTTTAAACAAACTTACCTTAATCAGTAGTTGATTAGAGCAGGCAGATGAAATAATCTGCTGTATATAACTATATCATCGCTAGAATACATTAATAATTTTATTCTGATGAATATCAGTGGAAGTTTGGTGAATGCTCCAACTGTCTGTTTTGGTCTCTGTCTCTTGTTTTAATACATGCTGTGTGAACACTACAGAAAATATCTGCACATGTGAACTAAATCATCACTTGAGCAAGTGGAGGAAGAGATGTGCACTGTTTTTAAAAAAGGTTATTAGCTTAATGAACATGGGCCCTGTTGTTTGTAACAAGAACCAGTAGTATTCTGATGACTCTGCCTAGTTCACATGAACAATGGTTCCACACAAACCAGTACTGTTCTGATGAATAATATCAGAATTTGGTGCGTGCTCTCTGTCTTTCGTTTGATCTCTCATTTTAACAGTTGTTGCCCACAGATATCATTTGATTACTGTACTAAGTGTTCTGTGTTTGAATCTGATTGCATACATACAAATTTTTTTTCAGAAACACATTTTTGGAATGGTTTGTGTTTTGTAAAGTGTCCCAGTTACACAAAACATAAATTTGTATACCAGTCCTTGAAAGGACTGTTTCAAGACACCGTGTGATCCAAAGCTTATCCTCTGATACATCACACTCTGTGGTGTATGCATTCCTAAGCTTGACATTTGGGTGATCTAGTACAGCTTCAGTTTCTATAAGATTTTTCACAACCACAGGTGACTCTTGTAGCCATCATTACCAACAAAATAAAGAAATTTAAGCAGAAGGTAAAACCTTTTCTCATTAAATAACTCCAAAAGTGTTTCTGGAATTTTTACCCTGAGTAATAGGTCTTAATGTCTGCATTCTGGTAAAGTCCTTGTAACAAAAAGAATGTTGGCACCATTCTGACATTATCTTTGTCATAAGAACTAATGCTCTGTTCACTGCATGATGAAATGTTCACATTCATGTTACTATAATCACTACATTCACTCTCATAAAACTTACTACATCCATCATCTTGCAGTAGTTCAAATAATACTTCATCAATCTTATTCATTCTTTGCAGGCATGGCCATAATTTTGACTGGTAGAGACTCAAACTCAGGACAGTTTCATGCAGAACTAATTGGGAGGTCTAATACACATACACATTATTTTTGTATTCCCAAAAATTATCATATCTGGCATTATGAATTTTTAAATACTACGTTGTGTGCATATCCATCACACCCACTATGATAAAAATTGTGCATTACATGTCAACATGTCATACCCACTTGACTGGTGAATTAGGTTTCTGTTTTAATTATATTTTTCATTGTAAGATTGAAAATGTCTGAATGTTACAAAAATATCACATATAGTATGATGGATTGACAGAACTAAATTTCCCTTAAGACATTCTGTGCTGTTTTATATGCAAAGAAAAACCTTGTAACCAGGCTGTGGTGGAACCTTTGTTATGCAGTACACATTTCTGATGTATAATTTTCTATGGTTCCAGTGCCAGTTCTTTTGAATACCTGGCATGTGAGAAGGGACTCTGGCCAGGACCATGCATCATGTAGGAACAACACGCATGATATGGTTTCACTTTACACTGAAGAAGAATAAAGTAAATGTTATTGGGGCATAAAGAACTTGATGTATGTTAATCAGAATTTTTGTGGTGGTATGTTGAAGTAAACAATTATTATTTTTTTTGACATGCTCATCATTGTCTTTTTCATGTCCAGCATTTCAAAACCGAGCCGTCTCCGTCATCAGGTAGCAGGTTAGGAAGTTTCCTACTCAGATCTGAGAATGGTACTTCCTCTCCTGCTGCTTGATTATGGACACAACCACTTCTTGAAATATCATATTTCAGAGAAACTTATAATGTTGGACATTGTTCACATAATAATTTTGTAATTTCTCTCGCAGTTTTTATAATGACTCTGGTTCATTTCAGCTTGGGACATGCAAATGGAACTTTGAATCCAGTAAGGAATTTTGGATTTACCAGTTACCCGCTATTGGCTCAGAACTCAGTGGCTTGGGTAAGTGTTATTAATTCTGAATGGGATAAAATTACACCAGTGGGGAAACTAAGTACATATTGGTATCCCGACAGCAGACAGGCGGGCAAAATCATTTTAGGGTAGCTAATAAATCCATTGAAGGTGTGACAGAGTTCAAATATTTGGGAACAACAATAACAAATCAAAATGACATTCATGAGGAAGTTAAGAGGAGACTAAACTCTGGAAATACTTGCTACTTCCCAGTTAAAATATTTTGTCTTCCCATATGATTTTTAAGAACCTGAAGATTAAAATATACAAAACAATAATTTTGCCTGTTCTTTTGTATGGGTGTGAAACGTGATCTCTCACTCTGAGGGAGGAACATAGATTGCATTTGTTTGAGAATAAGGTGTTGGGGAGGATATTTGGGCCTAGGAGAGAAGATGATGGGGTGTGGAGAAAACTGCATAATAGTGAGATTAAAAATTTGTATTCCTCGCCCAATATTGTCAGGGTGATTAGATCGAGAAGAATGAGATGGGCAGAGCATGTGGCGTGCATGGATGGGACAAGAGGTGTGCACCGGGTATTGTTTGGGAAAATCCAAAACTAACTAACTAGATAGCCTACAGAACCTGAAGGTTCATCACCAAATTAACCAAAACCCTCCACTGGCCAACAAAATCCTTTCTCTTTCAACTCCTATCTCCCACAGATCCTGCCTGAGATTATCCTCCCATCTACGCCCCCCCCCCCCCCTAGTATGTGTTTAGTAGGGGATTGGGTGTTCCTGAAAGTTAGTTTGGATGCAGAGGCTACAATAAAAATTCTTTACCAATCCTAGGGATTCAGCCCTGCATATAAATAAAAAAAGAAACTTAAGATATAACTACAATAGAAACATCTGTTTTTGTTATGAATGAGAAGTTTTGGTAGTGAAGGAATATATAGTATAAAAGCTCCATGAATGCATTTTCATAGATCACTAACAGGAATTATATTCTGAGAATGAAGATATTGTAACGTTGACGCCTATCGACTATTGTTATGGGCACTATGTCAACCCTGATTTGTTTGTAATAAGTCAGTTTACAGAGTCTACACATACAGGCAACTCTCCAGGTACAGTTTCTCGGTCTCTGTCTCTACACTTGACACACACACTATTCAGATCACACACACTGTCCTTCGGGTCGTTCTGGTCCCCAAGCTTGGCGCTCTCTGCACATGCACACACAACCCTCGGCCCATAGCACCCCTCTCGAAACATGCTGGCTCCTCAACTGCCACAGTCCATGAACCCAGTGCTCCTAACACGCAGCCGATCCTCACTGTTCACTCAGCACCACACAAGACTCCACTCTTCCTTCTGTTCCACCATCAACTATCAACTACTAGCACTCAGGCAGGTGGCCTTTTATATTTGCTGGCCTAGTCACAGAATATTCCAAATCAAGAATCTAGCAGATTCGCTTACTGGAAGGTTCTGGTAAGGAGGGCAATGCACCGACTGGAACATTCCATGGCGGCCACATCTATAGTCCATGTCCACTTGCAAAGGAGGGGAGTTAGGCTTCCCCTCCCCTCCAGCACAAGTCTTCAGCTCTTACGAAATTGTGGTAATTTCTTGAACAGATGTTAGAAAAATATATCTAAAATGTTGAATGGTGGTACACAAAGAAAATAAGAATTGAAAGGCCAAGAAAAGTATGGTTTCATCAAAGAAGATTTTAATAGGGAGAGATGAATTTGCCGGGTCTTATCCTTTAAACTGATAATAGTGTGGAGGGTTGTACGCAGTGTATATATACAGGTATGCTATTAAGGGAATTAATTTTTGTTAGAGTTGCTGTTAGTTTTGTTTCAGTACATTGACGTTTTGAATAAAACAGATTAGTTTCACTGAGGTATTTAATTTTCAGGGCTTGTCAACCTGTGACTGGGTCAATGCTGTGGCTCAGAGTACATTGGCTGGGGAACTGACAGTAATTTTCTCACATCAACTACTGATAGCTGTGGACACAGAGAAAGGCATGAAGGATAAGAGAATGGTAAATATACCTTGTGATGTTGGTACGGACATAAAATATGATCATGACAAAGGAAATATATCCTTAGAGCATATATAGTGGGAAGGAAGTTCCCTCTCTCTGCAATTATCACACTTAATAGATGAGCAGGAAACAGAGGCTTCCAGGCTTAATCCCAGAAATATTGATAATGCATTTAGAAATTATAGACAGTTACTAAGTACTACAGAGATACCGACATTTCTTGAATTCTCTGTGAAAACCAACCGTAGATGTAGCAGTGATGGAAAACCAGCACTAAATAATAAGTAGCATAATTCTTTTCATGGTAACTACTTTATTATGTTCTGCTACACTACATAGCACACTAAAGTGAAATGCTTCTTTTGCAGATCATCAGCTACACTGAAGTTGCGCACTTAGTAAATGAGGAAGAGGAGGGTTCTCATAGTGGCAAATTTTCAGACAAGACCAACAGTATCAATAGTTCCTCTTCAGCTGTGGAGAAATCTCAAAGTGACTTTGAGGGCATGTTTTTGAAAGTAGGAGGTACAAAAGATACTGCTTTGTCGACAGAAGGCAGTCATATTGAAGACACGGACACAAGTTGTATTGATAATTGTGATGTGGCCATGCCAGGCTGTGGCATTTCAAGGAAAAACAGAGGAAATCAGAATTACGAAAAGACTATTGAAAGGACAGGTGGATGTGTTCAGGATGGGGCTGCAAGAGGTTCACAGTCTCTGGGTGACAGTCCTAATAAGTCATTAAATACCTCTCTTCAAAGCGACATTCAGTTGAAGGACAGTACAATGACAGGAAACTTGTGCACAGTTGTTCATGAAGATAATATTTTATCGGACAAGTTGAGAAATGTAAATATCTCATGTCGGACTAGTAACCTGTTACAAGACGACTTCGGTGTGTCAGATAGTGTTGATGCAGAAAGATGTTTTAGCAGGGAATCATCAGTTGTCCGAGAGGGCATGTCCAAAGCTGATGAGGCTGATGACATCACAAAGGATGATATGGACTATCCTGAGAAGACAGATGATGAGGATGTGACATTTGACAATGACACAGAATACAACAGTGATAGTGATAGTGATATCTTGGATGAAAGTAAGGACAAGAAGGAGGCTTACGACAGTTTCAAGATAATGTCATACGACATGGCAGACAAGAATTATGGGCTGATTCTGTGTGACTTTCCAACAGTAAGTAGTTCTTTGCTTGATAGGGTGGAGGTTGTTAATGACAGAATCTTATATATAATACCAAAAGATTGTTGGTATGTTGTTATACTGAATATGGATGCTGAAATTGAGGATAAAGTGACAATTTAGAAGAAATCTTTTGTGAGGAATTACAGTATGTAGTTGGTCAATATTTTGAATATCATGTCAGACATTTGTCAGGAGATTTCAATACAAAAGTAAGGAAAGATGGTTTCAAATGAGCATTTGGGAATGATAATTTGCATAAAATTAGCAGTGATAGCGATGATAAAATAGTAAACTTTGTTGCACCAGAAACTCTTGTGGAAAATAATGTTCCCATAAATGCATGTGGACTTCTCCTGATAAAAGACAGCATTCAGACAGATGGTTGCAAGAGTTACAGAGAGATTATTAAGTAAATGAGAAATACAAAAAATGATTTAAACTGGTTAAGAATGGCATCCAGTGACTTGTTTTTGTAAGTACAGTGATGTATGGTAGCAGGGACCAAACATTGTATTTTACCCATGTCACTAGCTTGCAGGTAGAAAGAAAACAAATGTTAAACTTATCAACATATGAACTGAGACAGCGAGCTACAAACTACTGCCACTGGGAAATTATGTTTAAAATTTGTACTCCTCGCCCAATATTGTCAGGGTGATTAGAGTATGGGTAGTATATGCTTCCTTATCTGTTACTGCTTCTATTGTGATTTCTACCTTTTACTTCTAATGTACATGTAAAACACATATTTGTCCTGCCTACTGTACCTTTGGGTTCCATGAAAGCAGAGAATTTCTTGACCAGCAGAATATCAGTCTCTTAAAAAAATCCAGTCATTGTAGTTACTCGTGTTTTCTGACTGACAAAACCCACAGTAAGGCCAGTTGTCTCACTTCAAGCTCTGTATTACAGAATAGGCATTCATCGTTCTTTTCTTTTAGGACAACCTGAAGCATATGCCTCGTGAGGCTCGTTTGTGGATGCGACAGTCAGACAAGATGAGAGCAGTAGATGCCAGTGTGTATCCTATCAGCTCCATAAACAGGGTAACTAAACATAACTTTTCATGATAATAAGGTCACAGTTTTTATCCCTTTCACCAACAGATTTTCAAGCTCTTTAGCCTGAAGTTTATTCTGACATATGGAATTTTGTGACTCAATCTTTTGAAATGATCAGCTCTTTCATATTTTGTTTACTAGTGAATCATCATTCAAAATGGATGGAATAATAAACCATAGAAATTTCCGCTTGTGGGCCTTGGAGAATTCAAATTAAACAAATGATACTCAATTTTAATACAGATTTCCTGTAAGTATATGGTGCGAGATTATTGGCAATATAGTTATTGGACTGTTTGTGTTTGAACACCACATGACTGCAGAGATATACCTAAACTTTGTCAACCTGTCAGAACTGCTTTAAGATGTGCCACTTGAAGTCAGACCAGGCATATGGTTTCAGCACAATGGTACAACTGTACACTTCGCAAGATGTGTAAGACAACCAACCAACTAAAAAGCTAACTAAAGGCGGAGTCCTGCGCAAGCGCAAGACATCATCCCTTTCTAGGTACCAGCATTCCTGTGTACGAAACACTTTGCTAGAAATGGTAAACAGAGCCTTAAAACTAAAATGGGAGTTTGCGTACGCTAACGGGGGTTTTGTCTTGGTAGGAGCCACGACTGTTCAAACTAGGGCCTGTTGCTGCTGATGGGAGGTAATTTTGTGAGGCAACTTGCCCAAAGGAATTTGATTGGTTGGTTCTCTGGGGTTTGAACCCAGAGGGGGTGGAGTCGCTTCAGCCGAAGGCCTTCGTGATTGGGAAGCAGGCCATGCCCCTCTTGAGTTATACTCTGGCATTTGTCTTATAACTGAGGAAAAGCACGGAAAACCTCAGTCAGGGTATCCAAGTGATCAGACCACTCGTTGCACTGTCTTGGCCGTCTTTTCAGGGACAGCCGAGGCTGTGTAAGACAATTTTTAAACCACTGATTTGAAGGTCACTGGATCAGCCTGGGAGGGCCACAACCCTGGCTGCCAGGGTCTGTGTATGACTCCTTTGGATTTATCGAGTCCTACGTAAAGCCTTGTTTGTGAAAGAAAATTACAAACACTTGCAGAGCTGACTTGCTGTTCTTCAGCACCGCACCACAGATAAAAAATGATAGCATCATGCTTTGCATGTTCTCTTTCAAAAACAAGGTGGTGACAACTTTAAGCAGTTAATTGTAATAAGTTATTGGCATGAGTAAAAATTTTAAAATGTTATACAGGATCTTTCTTTGTCTGCATAATTGTGAACAACTTCAACGTCATATATTTATAGCTTTTCTGTATGCAAAATGATTTGTCTTATTTTCAACATGTAACAACATTCTTGAATGTTGATGAAGTATCAATTTTACATAACAGTTTATTTTGTATGTTTGTGTCTTACAGGTGAGTTGGAACCCAAACTGCCGCAGTTTCCTCTGGCTTGCTGCAGGTTACCATTGTGGTCTGGTTAGAGTACCATGCATGCGAGCAATGCATTGCAGACCTATCGAGGAAATTCTTCAGCATGGAGAACACAAAATTGCAGAATTACAAAGCAAAGATTTTGAAGTTGCACTTTGAGGTGTCATAACTTGATACTAGCCATCTTAATTGCAACTTGACAGGAGCAGTTCTGAATAAGAGGAGTGTGCACATTTTTGTTATTGTGTTGGAATTAAGGATGCATGGGATTTGTTTGGTATGCATTATTGCTTTTGTTGATTTATAAGTCTATCATGGACCAACATATAGCTCAAGGGAAGAAGTCATGTAATTTAATGGTTAGTTTTATTTACCAAAACTAAAATGTATGATTTGAAATATATATTTTTGTTAAATTTTTGATATAGATGTAAGACACATCCCGTGCTTTTCTCCTTTGTGCTTCCTGCAGCAAAGCAGATGTATGTGTGCTGACTCAGAAAATGAAATTGTGACTTTTCCTTTTATGGTAATTATGATTTTTGTCTCCCCTTCTCCTGAAATTAAAAAAAGTTAATGCTTGAACATAAGCTTTCAGGAAGTTGCAGAGAGTATGGAGGAATTTCTTTCCTTGCACCTATCAGTCCCAGTTCAAAATCATAGGGACCCTAGCAAAACGTACTGTTTCATAATTTTGGTATATTTTCTTGCAGTTTTAAATATGTTTAATTTGTTTGAAATTCTGTAATGATTTCAGTGAAAGAAAATTGGTTTATCAGTCATTCTCTTATTTACATAAACAGGACAACTTTTCATTCACAATAAAAGATGAAAATGGGTGATTTCTTTTCACACTGTTAACAGTGAAAATAAATAACTCATAGAACTGTATGCTCTTATCTTTTTTCAGTTCCCAAATTACATTACTGTTATCTGAAATTGCAGTTGCAATTTATAAGCTTCACATTTTTGTCTTTCATGTTTGAGATACTGCAGAGAAACTTGAAATTGTCTCTGTCATTAAGAGCCTGCTGCGGACTTTATGGTTAAGATACTGTTCCTGGCAGGTGGCTGTTCCTTTTTTTCACAGGAGTGAGGCTAAGGCTGGCCCAGTAGCAAGCAGAGATTTTCCAGAGCTGTGAAGGCTATCTCCATCTGGTATTGTAGTTAGGAATGCATGAAATTTTATCTACAGAACTTCACACATATTCATAACATGGTCCTTACAAATGGGCAGGGATCCAGAAATACAACTGATATCTGTTAGCATCTCAACACAATCAGTCCACTTGTCCATGGTCTTGCAGTAGGCTTCATGCTTCTGGGGACCACCCACTGGCAGATAATAACAGTTTTTGAATTGAATAAAAACAAGCACTTCCTGGATGTATTCTACTCTTAATGTCATCAAGGTCCTAATGATGGAGGCTGTAAGCACCTCTGAAACATTGGTCAATTTATATTAGACTGCATGGTACAACATCCCAGAAGACAGTCATCTTCATGCCATTGTGAGAATCTGAAATCTATCATCCAACTTCTCCAAAGCTACAGACCTATTTGACGTTATTACGTGATACTGTTCCTTATTTTTATGACAGTTTTAAGTTTAAGTTGTAAAAAAGCTTTTTTGTTTGCAATTTAATTTACAGTTCAGTTTGAAGATTTTGGGTTGATTTGGATGAAATGTTTATACTTTTTTAAAGGAACAGAAACTTTGCCTTGGTCGGTATGAATGCACTGATATTGGTGAAATCCGTTCACCTACACCCATTTTTATAAGCGGAATAAGTTTCGGGGATCAGGTTTATAAAATTAAATCATTGTTTTGCTGTGATGTTCCTCCTTTAGCCGACAGAGCTGCAGCTGCATAATCGTTTTATAGTAGTCGCATGTTGGCTGCGGATAGATGGCGCCATAATATATGGTAAATACTCCGAAGGCGTACACAGCTGATCGCATTTGGTGTTTAGTGTTTGAGTTATTTGTGGTCAGTGATTTACAAATCAGATGTAGTTTATTACTGTTGTTATGTTAAAAGTATATTTATCAGTATTCACCTTCAGATATTGAGAATTCTGGTAATTTTTTTTATTAGGTTATGTCTTTCAAGAGGGACGGTGACGATCTTAATTTGCTTCGCAGTCTCAAGGTATGTGTTTCGCTATAATTAATGCATATGTGATATTAATATTGTTTCGAACCTTTGGCACTGCCCAATCGATAAAAAGCAGTAGTTGAAATGGATTGGACTGTTACATACAACATTATTACTGAAATGTTCTCTTATGTTTTATAATTTTGATGTATGACTATCTAATGTGTTTTTGCTTGTAGCATCGTCGAGTGTGTGAACTGCTATCCAGTCACATACCAGATGATGAAGCTATGTTACTAAAGAATGGAAGGTGAGATTGTATGTTATTTGTAAATAAACACAAGTAAAATCCAGGTGTTTCCAGTTACATTTCAGATACTAGTGTCTGGTCAGAGGTAGATATGTTATAAATGGCATTAAAGCTATCTTCAGGGAAACTGCAGAATCTTGGGAACTTGTCACATTGTTTTGCTTCCTTCTATTTGGTATCCATTTTACACCAGTGTGTTGATTCGATGCTACAATATTTCTAACCTGTTTGATTGAAAACTGCAGACCATAAGGGATGATTGCATTAATCAAAAATGTTAATATGAAATAACAAATTGAGGACCATGGATTACAGTTAACAAGATATTATTCAGCAGTCAGCACAAATCACCACCTTTATTCAAACTGTTGTAACATTCACACAGTGATCAAGTAAATAACAGAACTGACCGAATCTGAATCATTAGTTATGATACTATGCTGAGAAATGGGACACTAACAGGGGAAGGGAAATGGAGGTGGAAAAGAGTAAACCATACTGGCATAAGGCACCAAAACCATTAATATTATCTAATGAGAAGAATTAGAGCACATGTAATTGATAAGTCGGCCTTGAGATGAACATGAGCAAAACGAATATAATGAGGAACCGCCACACAGACACAGTTCGTACTTCTAAATGGCACACAAATCAAAGACGTTGGCGAATACATGTATCATGATGGACTGCTCAATATGTCAAACACCGGAAATCACACGAAGACGCCGTGTTAGTTGGGCGGCATTCAACGGGATGTGGACAATCATTGACAGCACAAAGGATATGCAATTCAAGGCAGAAATATTTAACACCACAGTTCTGCCTGCAATATGCTATGCTGGAGAGACTTGGTTCCTAACGAATGTCTTAGAGAAACAATTAAAGGTCACACAGGCCTAACTTGAAAGATAATTTGTGGGGCCAACTCTCAAGAAACAACAAGAGAAACAAATGCATAATAGCAACATCTGAAATATATAAAAAATTCTTTAATTAGTTCAAACACTAAAAATTTTTGCTGTCTTCCAGGAAATTAAATGTAGCATACGCCCTAGATAATAAATAAAAACCTGAGACAAAAACCAACATAGTTACTAATCTCTCACAGTATTTGCTTTCCCAAGAGCAAACACTCTACTTATCCTGCATCCAGACATTTTTTTTGCATTCGGTGGCATGAGAAATAATTATGTTTTTAGAAAAAGTTATAAGAATGAATGGCTCTGTGCATTTGAATAAAACTCATAAAAGTTGTGTGGAACATACTTGTGTACATGGAAAGACAGTTGATTTGTTACATATAAACTGTTGGATTTATTTTGTGCTACTTATGGAGCAGTTGCTTATGTTCATTATGCTGTTAGGAGAGGTTTATGTTGTTATAATGTAAAGTGTCAACAATTTGTCCTTGAGGAAAGCAGTGGAATGTGGTACTGTGTGTGCTGACCTGTCATGATAATGGAATATTTCATATTTTCACACAGGTTGACATGCATGATATGTACTCACCGACCCATCTTCGACACACTCAGTATGCTTGCCATTCATCGCAAAGGCAAGAAGCATGTCAGTGGTACGTAAAATGAAGAAAGAGCACAGGTCAGATTTATTCAACAAAATGCTGCAAAGTAACTTCTGCTCATGTCCAGTCTCTGGAATATCTGTTCAGATTCATCAGGAGATTGTACATTTTTTATGCACAGAGCAGTTGTTGACTATAGACTATATTGATGATGTTTGTAAACTTGTGCTTCATTACAGCATGTTTCATCCTGAGTTCAAACTCTGAATATCTGAATATGTATTAATTATTCATTGAGTGCTCACATCTTATCTCTGTTATCAATATTTGACTCACAAATTTGCCCCACATCTTTGTGTTTACACGCTAGCACTGCAGTTATTTTGTATATTTGTTTATACTTATGGGTCAGGTTACTGCTTTTTAAATTATACACCTTGATTTCCACTTCAAAGATTTTGGTTAGAAAACTGCAAGGAAAGCATCTACTCAGATTGAAGCATAGATTGGAGGATAACAGAGTACTGTGATGGATCATGCAGAATTACATTGAGGGTGAGAAAATGGGTTTCTGGCAGAAATATTTAAATGTAATAACATGAGACTGGAGAAAATCACGTAATGAGGAGGATCATTGTGCTCTTCACCAAGTGTTAGGGTTATCAAATTGAGGAGAATGCAATGGGTGGGGAATGTGCCACATATGGGAAATTTGAAAAGAGCAAAGACCTGAAGGGAAGACAGCGTTTGGGCAATGCAAATACAGATAGGAGGGGTCATAAAGAAATGGGGTATGAGATTGTTGAATGTGCCTAGCTTAATGGCATGCTATTGTAAACACGGTAATATATATTTGGTTCTATAAAATTCAGGAAGTTTCTTGATTAGCTGAGTAATGAATGCATTGTCAGCAGCACTGTGCTTCATTGAGTTGGTTTACACAATTTTTCTTTGTTCGGTTGAACTTTATTTAATTGGTGCAGTACAGGACCAGAGGAGGGATTTTGTGACAATGGTAATTTATTTTAAGATTCTACAACAACAGAAATTTTTGTTAATAGCTGAATAACCATTAGCTGTTCAGTATCATAGAAGTTTCTCAGTTATTTGATTCTGTCTCTTACAGAATAGAGAACAGGCAAATAGATGCCATATTATTTCATGGGATTACAAACTACTCAGTCATCTCATCATACTACTCTTTAAAATTATTTTTTCCTGGGGGTTCTTGTGATAGGGAATACACATTGGAACTACCCAGAAAACAGCCATCTTTGAAAGAGCACATAGGATTCAGTCAGTATTCATACTTATCCCAAAGTGACCAATTTTGTTGTTAATCATGTATTGACCAAACACCACATATATACAGAGTAACCTCGATATAACGCGGGTTTTGGGGGACAGCTTCTGTACCTATGTTATAAGCTACCTGCATATATGTAAAATATGTAAAACATATGTAATTGTATTGTGGGACATGATCATAGCTGCAGTATATCCGAATCCGCGGTATATTGAGGTTCCATTGTATTACTTCTGTTTAATAGAAGTAGTTATTACAAAACTGAAACATTTTGCCATGTAAATATATGCAAATAAGTGAGAAAAATAAATGTTTACAAAAGCAAGACCTCATTGGGGAGGTGTCTCTTTCTGCTTACAGAGCTCAGCAAGTACTTGCTTCACAAGAGGGAATTAGACACGAAGAAACTGAAGTCTGAGCAGAGGAGATATCTATGTACTGGACTGGTTGAATCAATGGGGCACAGAGCTTTATCAGGGGAAGCACAGGGTAACAAGCTGCTTATCACGCAGGTGGCTTACAGTAGTTGTTCCAAGCAGAGACTGGGGCTGCAGCGGAAACCCATCTTGGACATTGAGAATAGTAAGGACATTTCAAGTTGTTCTTGTGGTTATTGTTTTTCAGTTCTGTTTAGATCATTGCAACAAACACTGCAGATTAAGGTTTAGTACTCTTACTATGTTCACTCACCCTCTCCTGTCCAGTGGATATTGGGTCCTTACCCAGGAGTAAAGCATGGCTGACGCGTGACACTGACCTCTTGCCCCTGTCTTGTGCCAAGGTTAAGAATGAGTAGGAGCTATACCGCTTCTCCCCCCAGGTGCCTACGTGGTATATAGTGGGACAGCTATGCTTTACTTTACTTTACTCCTACTATGTTTTCAAGAGGCCTAGAATTTGAACCTCAACCTGGAAGTCTTTTTTTGTTCCTTCACTTCCTCCATACAGATAGTGAAATAGTTCCTAAAGGTAGTAAGAGATTGCTTCCTTACCAAAAATCATTATGATTGCATATTATCATCTTTCCAGCAGAGTTTGTGTGATATAACCAAATATCAAAATCCAAAGTAAAGAAAAGAAAAGAAGAAGAAGAGAAAAATGTCTTAGTGTTGGTTTTAAAACAAAATGCCAATTTTGAAAGAAACAAATCAAAATTAAGATATATATTCATGTTGTAATTACTTCTGCAACATGAAAAGAACTTAGGTGCTCATGCAAGGCTTCCAAGATTTATCATGATGGTCAGCACAGGTCAAACTGACCTGCACTGTACTGTTAAGAATGTAAACAGTTGAAAAGGTTTCATAATCCAAAGAGCAAAATTTTTTCCCCAGGGAAACCAATTTTACTTGTTATATCCATGAAGCATGCTAATTAATGTTGAGAAATTTTGTATTAGATAAATGAAATATAAAGTTGTCATTTGCTCAGTATAACCATGAACACGTTATATCTGTAATGTTTATAACCAAGTTTTACTGTATTACATTTATTTATACATATACAGGATAAATCAGAGTCCTATGGAAAACTTTAGGAGGTTGTTGAAGGGATAATATGAGGCAGAAAATATAATGAACAGTTGTCTGATTTGCCACCATTTAAAAATGCAGTGTCTTGATTTTTTATATGTCCTGGAGCCTTCATAATGTTACGAGATGGAGCTCATGCTGTATTTGCTTGTGGCTCACATTATTTCTGACGGCAAACAAGTCCCACTACAAAATCAGACATTTGTTTTAAACTTGATGCAAGATTCAAATTGAAAAGAGCTAAACAAGTTTGGATTTTTTTAAAATTTTTATTCATTACAATTAAAATTAATAGATGATAATGTTAAATGCAAACAAGCAAATGCATACGAAATTCTTTCATTTTTTGAAAAGGTTGTGAAAAAAGAGTGAACAATTAAACAACAACTTATGTACATGTACTCCAAATTGTGTTCCCAACAACCTCATTATATTTTACCATAGGATTAAAATCACTCTGTATTTAAATAGTGTTTTGGTATGTATTTTTTATGCTTTGCTATAGTGACTGAGTGAGACACAATCATATATGAAATTCTGCATATTGAAGAAAGATATTGTTACTTCCTTTATCCCTTATAAAACTCACAACTGTGAATTATTCCTAACTATTTAGCTGGTGAAGTCACAAGACCAATACCGTATGGTTAGTAGATAAGAGTCTTTATGGTGAATTTCTACATAATGCCCAGAAAGAACTACTACTTTGTTTTTTTGGCAAGTTTTGTATGTGTAACTATCCCCAAGTTTTGGTTGAGCATAATTTTTTTTTTGTTTCTTGCAATTGTTATGCCTTTATTGATAACCATTGTGGCAGTTGTCTGTGGCCTTATGGTTCATAGTGACAGTTATCTGCTGTGTCATTGGTAGATTTGTGACATTTGTTTATTTAAGTGTCAGAACTGTAGCTGACTTTCATTATTCCAACCTTTTTCAATTCAGTGGCTGTTATATTTCTGAATGCAAAATAACGTCATGAAGACTGTGTAAACCCATGTACACGGTACCAGTATGATATTTGTGATTGTCCATTTTTCTAAGGTATATTTAATGTGTAGGATATCTCAAATCATGCAACACTAAATATAGAGGCAAATATTTTGTTAGTGGTATAGGGAAATTTCAATTTGCCATGCCAGGTGCCAACACTGGACTCGTGTCATTCTAACAGGTCGGTGGTTTTACATAGTTTCTTTGTATTTGTTGCTCTCAGTCAGTTGATTCTGTGAGAAACATAGAGCCATTTTCAACAGTGGAGTATGCGTTATTGTTGAACATTATTCTCAAATACAGTCATATGAAAGTGCTTATGAGGAGCATTTTTCTGGTGATGCTGTACCAAATAAGTCAACCATCTACTTGTTAATCAACAATGCCACTCTTTGCATACTTCTATGAATATGCTGAAATAAGTTGAATTATGTCCTGCAATATGGTGGAGGACCATTTCACCAGCTGTAGTAATTATGTAATTGTAATCTTAATATGTAATTATAATCTAATATGTATAACTAACATGACATTCAACTTTGCATTGCTTGCTTTTGGAACATTCATTGCAGTTTTAAGTTGGCTCTGTGCCTTTATCAGGTGACTGGTAGTCATTTTACCAAAAAAGATTAGTTATTATTTTCTTATTTTCAGCTTAAAGATGGTGGTTGGGGTTGAACTCAGGATGGTTCAGGTGTAATCAATCTACCATTGTCACAGACGTTTAGAGGTTCCATTCTCTATAGCTAGGCATGTGAAATCATAAGTTTTATCTTATATTTTGTACTTTTTTTTATTGTTGTAATTTTGTATCTTGTCTGTGTAAAGGAGAGTAGTTGTCGACTCACTTCTGTAACTTCTTCTTTCAGTATCAAAGGAGACTGAAATCCCTGGAGTAGCAACAAAAAATAATGTGTTTCCTTCAGCTTCAGCACAAGTTCGTCAGTATTTGAAAGGACTTTGGAAGAAAAAGCCCCTTGAAAAAACTGTAGAGAAATGTCGAGAGAATTATGGCGAAGGTTGGGCAAAGTCCTTAAATAATGTAGTTGATATCAGTCTGCCAGACTGCCCAGAATCGATTTTGGAAGATACTGCAACATCATCCAGACCGTGCAGTGAAGAAGACGTGGCTAGGAAGAAGAAGGCAGACCATGAACTGAAACTAAAAATGTAAGTGCAGCATTGTGTTTAATATAGTATTTTATGTTGCTGCTCGAGTATCTGGAAATGCCTTGGTGCTTCAAGCAGATGGAGGTGTATTCTATATAGCAGTGATTCTCAAATGTTTTCCATGGAAACTCAATGTTCCACGAAGTGGTGTAAAGGTTTCCGCAACAGAATACTGTCTAACGGCAGACTAACTCATTTTACAATGCCTTTGGTGTCACGACCATATAATTAACTTTGTACATTGCTTCATTACTCTTTTAAATTAGACTGTAATGTTTTAGGGAACAAAATTGTACATATGGGGTAGATGTGTGCATTCCATAACAACAATGTATGTCAGTTGTTTCTGTCCCACACATCTAGGGCCAAAGTAGAACTCTTGTTATTTGGAAAAATATGGAAGCATGTAAAGGGAGAAAGTTGTAGATAATGTGTTTCCAATCTCAAGTGTTGGAATTGCTTACTTACGATTAGCCATTATTGTACTACACAACTTACATTATCAATAGTAAAATTTACAGCGATGTTACCATGTTGACACGACGGCAAAAGACGGATGTGTGCAGGCCACACAGTGAGGAGGCACAGTAGTTCTTGCCCATGGGGCATGGATCGTGCTCGGCCAGTCTCGGGTCTGCATCACCTGGAGGCCACTGCCATGTTTGTCATTCTACCTCAGTTCAACAAATTTCAGAAAAATTAGTGGCATTAATATCACCAAATTGTGTATGCATATGCTAAAAAGTGTGGTCCTTTCAGAGTTGACATGTGTATTTTGAAATTGTTCTGTGAATTGTCTTTGAAGATACATTTATTTCCTGATAAGAGTGTGTTGCACAGAAAGAGAAGGGTGCTGGAAGTCCACATTTCCTTTCAGCCATGGTCATCAGTGAAGTAACCTATTGTGGTCACCATCTTTTATGCAGCATGAAGTAACTGTAGTTTCAGCGTACTCCAATTCAGTCTTGTTAAGGAATCAGTCACTAAAACTAAGCAAGGGTTTCCCATTATCCTTACAACCTCAGAATGAGTGGAAACTTCCTGCTGTGTTCTTCTACAGTAGCTTCTTGTCTGTTTTATAGGAGTGGCTGGATCAAGAATGCTGATGGAAAATGGGTGCAAGACCCAGATGTGGAGTTTGACAGTGATGAGCATGAACCACCTAAATCCTCAGACTGATAACCTTGTCTTCAGGTACAAAAGGTTTGCCTCCAAAATAATGTTCCCAATATTTCAACAAACACTTGTTAAGATAATGTTGGACCAGGAAACTTTGGCGTTTGCCAGGTAAGATTTGTTCACTGACCCATTGTTATTTTTTTATTTTGGAATTATAGTTCAGCAGATGCCATGTAATTAATGTGACTAATGTAATTAATATGTCAAGTGATGGACAGTTTTCTGTAACTGAGCAATGATTTTAATATATGACACTGAGGTAGTAATGGGAGAAAACAATATTTCTTCTTCCAAGTTGGGAGGAGGGGAAAAGAATGTAATATGAGTAAATTATTTTGTGTAGAGATGCCTAAAATATTTTTGGTATTTTATTTTTTGCCAACAGTGGCAATGAAGTTCCCTCAATACCAAGTTTTCTTCTTCTTCTTCTGTAAGTTACGTCAACATTTGTGATTTCACTTTTGCATAAGAGAGATAAAGAAATATATAAATTTATCTACTTTGGAAGCATAATAAAGAAAAGTGGCAAGATCCAAAATTAGGTAAATGAAAGAAATGGAACAGGTTCATAGTTATATCTTGTAGCTAAGGCTTTATTATGGAATAAAATTGAAGATAGAATTTGTAAAATTACAATGTATAATACTTATTGTAAAGAGATACTATTATATGGAGCTCAGAGATGTGTACTTGAGAGGGAGGGAGGGGGGGGGGAGGCAGCTGAAATGAAATTTCAGTGAGGAATAATGGGAGAAACCAGGAGAGGTAGAATTAGAAACATAAACATTTGTGGGGGGGGCTCAGGATGAAGGAAATACAAAACCAAACTGAGAGAAGCAGATTGAGGTGGTTTGGAATACCAAAAGGGTGATTTGAAATGAAGATGACCCTGGGACAGACCATACACATGATGGATAGAACAAGTTAAGAGAGATGTAGACAGGAAAGGGCAAGACTGGAGGAGGGTAGATGAAATGCAGGAATGGACAGACAGATACAGTTTGTGACCATGCATATATTAACCAAGTTCTGTCATTTGTCAAATTATATTGTTTTCTTGGACTATAAGCTAAAAGCATTTGAATGCACTGGTTGTAAATAAAAAGACAAAAAGGATGGTCGACAGAGAGAAACTGTTTCAAATATTCTTCATGTTTACAAGCTCAGTAACCAAGAATAATTAATTTTAATTATGTAGAATAAATGCAGCTTGAAGTTAACCTACATGAAATCAGTGCCATATATATCAGTATTAACTATTGGGTTAAAGCATCAGACATTAAAACTGCAATGCAGCATTTGTATGTCCTGTTACCATCTCATTGTTCAAAGGGATGTTACTCTCAAAATACAATAACAAGTTACAGTTACCACATCTATTAAACTCAAGCACGGCAAGTTGGAAGTCAGGTAGTCATTTCCATCAAAGTATTTAACCTATTGGATTTACAAGTCCAAATACTGCGGCTCCACCATCTAGAATATGTTGATGTAAATTCTCCATACAACATCTCAAAACACTTTTATTATGCTTTTTGAATCATTGTTTCCTGTCAACAGAAGAATTAAATGAATCCTACCAAGAAATCATCACTGGCATTTATCACATAAAACTCACATCAGTTGTTACAGATCCAGTATCAAACAAGAGTACTGTACATAGGTGTAGCAGAAACTCTGTCCAGTTAGATAAGAAATAGAAGAGTAACAGATTTTTACTTAATGAAATTCTTCTAATTCCATCCTCTGTCAAAAACTTCAAAGTTGTGCTTATTGCTTGATTTCTGGTTCTAGGTGAAAATATTGTATTTTCAGATCTTGAATAAGCCATGACTTAGTTACCTGAGCCAATTTAACATGGTAAAATAAATTACATTGGTTGGTGTTTCATATGTAAGCTTGTAACTCCACTACAGTTTCTTTAACTTATTATTAAGGTTATTACAGATTTGATTATCTGTTGTACAGACTATTAGAGTAATAATTTAAATATACCTTTTTTCATTTAGTTAGTGACTAAGGATGAACAGTTTTAAATTAATGTAGTCCACTCATTATGATATACTTCAGAGATAATACACCATCCAGTTAGATTGTTGTATTTTGAATGATACTGTTTCAGGTGTAGGCGTGTAGCCATGCAACATTGCTTCAGTTGTACCTCTCGCAATGATGACTACAAAGACGAATACTCAACGTCATTTTAATGTACAGCACTAACAACATAACAATGCATTTTGGGTGTTCATTAAACATACGCAAACATTTTTTTAATTGTTACTCATAACATCTTTCTTTACTTATAACAATAGAATTGTAACGCCATTCACCAGCACTCCAAGATTAAACCCTTACAGACATACAGTTGTTTCAAAATGTGTGAAATAATTTATTATTGAAGGTCAAAAGTATCTAAGAATGGAATGGAGAGAAATAGTGCGTGCTATGAATTTAACAAAAAGGAGCCTGGACAACTTTGCACTTAGAAGAGGAACATGTCCGGGGAAAAGAGGACATCTGGCCACCTTTCAAATAGTTATCAAGAACAAATGTTTGCTGGGAAAGACTGTTAGCTCTGAGAAGTATTTCTCTTGCAGCAGTAATGGACAGTTTACATCAACATAAAAGGAGATGAATGGGTCTGGCTACTGCCAGGAATAACGTGTATGTGTTGCTAAGGTGGTCAGCCTGAAGAATAAATAGTCTGGTAGAAGTTTACTAATGTTTCAGAGGTCTTTCTGCATCCATCATCAGTGCAACGGCATTACTATCCCCCTTCATTTTAGAATCATTGATGCTCTCTCTGTACACATATAAATCTGTTGCCTTCATCACATGGCTCCAGAAGACTTGTCTGTCTTCAGCAGACAAGGTGAGAAATGTCTATCAATACAGCTTTACATTGTGATGAACCTCTTAAGCTAAAGCTCGTCCAAATGTTACTTAAATAATTTAGTTTCTAGATCTGTTGGTTACTGTTGTGTCCAAAAATAACTGCTTTTTATTCTGAGAATAATACGAAACCCGTCAGTACGATCTGTGGGCAAAATGCAGAGATAACAGTTTTAAAGCAGGTAGTAAATGTAGTTTTACTGGTTTTGAAGGGTTAAATGCCTGGCGTTCAACACAGAATTCCCTGTCATATGCCCACTTTTATAATGGTGACCACCAGGCAAACTATTAGAGTGAGATCATTATTATTGTGGAATGCGTTAAAAGTTTTATGCCATCGAAAGTGTATTATTTGCTCTCGCCCTTAAGCGGCCCCTAGACGATCAATATTATTGCACAATAATATTGCGAGGTGTTCCAGACCGTACAATATTATTGTCCAATATTTTAGCTGCGGATTTTCAGTGTACATTTGATTGTTGTGCAGTCAACATGTTAAGTGACAGAAGCTGCGTGTGTGGCCATCCCTGTGGCTGTGTGTCTGAAGAAGAAGGAGTAAGCGAAGATGGATGAAGGAATGGTTCAAAAAAAGAGATGAGTACACTCATGAGAACTTATTAAATGACCTAAGGGTGAGTGAACCAGGCGACTTTCGGAATTTTCTGCGTCTAGATGGTGAATCTTTTGATGAACTGCTAAGAATGATTACCTCTCGAAATCAGAAAAGAAATACTACCTTGCGAGATGCTATCTCTCCATGTCAGCGTTTATCTATTACACTACGTTATTGCGCAAATTAGTGTGCAAAGAATTGATTTTTTTAATCACTTCTTGTTTTTCAGCTTCCGGATGTCTTTCTTTGTATTTGTCAACGAATAGGTCGTATTGTTCATTTTTTTGCTTCGGTTGCTGTACTCCTTACTCTTAACATTCCACAAAGCCGACAACGAGTGATAAACCTCTATAAATTCCAAAATGAACTTTCGTTCGTCATCTTTCACTTTAGACGACATCATGTTCAGCGCGCATCGATTTTCACGCCACTACGTCTGGGACAGAACTGAACGATATTGCGCAACACTGCCTACAGATGATGCAACCTTTTCCACATTGTGCAATACATATCAAACCATTTTTGATTGGCACAATATATTGCACAACATTTCATTTCGTAACATAGACGATCAATATTATTGTACAAAACTGAATATCGCTTTACTCACTTCATGTGACAGGAAGGCAATAGTGGTGGGGGTTTCATTACTAATCGCTAACTCAATTTAAGATTTGATTAATGTGTTCTTTGAAACTGAGTCTGGATAAACCTATAGAAAAGTTATATATTATTATTATTAACAAAATATATTTGATATAGTAATTAAAAACCTGTGTTTTTGTTATAAACATGGTAGTATTTTTGACTCGGTGCGAAACAGCTGGCAAGTACAATATGTCGGTTGTTGACGTGATAAAACATTATCAACGCAGCATAGAAAAATGCCCAGAAAACACAGAAAGGGTGAGTTTGAGTAGTTATATTTACTAATAGCTATACCAAAAATATTGTAATTTTGTGTTTACATTTCATGAGCAAGTGTTGCTGGGAGTATAATGAAACAAACTACCAATAAAATTCATATAGCTCATTTCAAGTGACCCATTTCAGGAAGGTGATCTATACCGAATTATCTGATATAATATTGTAGATATAGTGTTTTGTGTGCGAAAAATAACATATTTTTTACTACATGCTATAAAGCATTGAAATGTGAATGGTACCTATGGTTTATCACTTGTTGGCAAATTAACAGCTGTTCAGTAGTTATGTTACCCTATTACTGCTGCCACATGTTCTGCATTTTGAATTATTAAAACTCTTTATGGGATTTTTATTTCTGACCCTTATATGTTTTTGCAACATTTATGGTTACACATTTTTTAATGATATCCAAGTAGCCTACTCAAAGTTCAATATGGGTTCCTTTCCACTTCAAAATTGCTTCAAACAAGGTAGTAATTACAGAGACGTCATTATGAAGCAGAAGCATTAATTACCAAGGAGAACAGTATAAAATTTTCCTTTTATTTTCTTATATGGAGCATTTGGTTCAGTAGTAGTATATCATCATTCAATCTTACCATTTTCCTGTATTTAATATCATTTAGAATGTCGTTCATTGTAGTATACTTGTTGTCCATCATATTTTTTGGGTTCTTTTTAGCATACTTCCTTTCTTTTATAAAGAAGAGTAGGTTTATGATGTAGTGTTCTTGTGCATATGTCCCTCCATAATATGTTTTATGAATATCATGTTATTAGGTCTTAGAACATATCTTAATCCCGAGTAATAAGTGTTACCAGCATAGTGACTATTCAGACTTCTGTGGTGTAAGAGATGCGAATGACAATTCATGTAGATTTGTTTTATTCAGTGTAGTGATGTACACAAAGAAATGTTGAAATATTTATCACCAGAGATAGTAGAATTATGTGATGGTCATTTAATTGTGTCTTGGAATGATTATGTGCAGCTCTCACATGGGAACCATCAATGATTCATGTCAAAACCCCATCTGAAATTTTTCTTATATATAAATCATGCCAAGTAATGCTAAATTTTAGCCACCAGTACCGGCTGTAAGTATCTGGAAAAATTCCGATCCTTGAATTGCTGTCAGTTGCATGGTGTGCATCTGCAATATTACAGGCTACATTTGAGAGCTAAGGACTGGAAGGAAAGAAGAACCTGTACTATTCAATGGCGGTTCCTTTCAGTTGACTCATGATCACTGCCTAATGATCACAAACTATTTTCTGCTGACTCTCTGATCATACATAATAAAATCTCCAGTGTTTCTTCTGTGACACATTTTTCCTCTCTGTTGACTCAGAGTCTATAGTGATATAACTGTGCTAGAATCAGCTACACCAGAGAAAAGTGTGGAAATATAAAGCATTCCTCCAGGAACAATAGGGAGAATTCAGGTACTAGACAAAAAATTCTTTTGACAGTGGAAGGCATTTAATTTGAGATCTTTCAGTGGGGCAGGATCTTAAAACTCCAGTCAGTTTGTCCACTATTTGTTTTCCTTGCCTAGATTTGTCAGCATCATCAGATATGAATGGTACACTGCATGGTAAGTGATCCAATGACCACAGTCCTTTATTACACCAGCACAGTTCCGTCTGCACAGAATGAGTAGGACTTGTGAACTGCACAAATGTGAAAACATCACAGTTATTCTGTGTTTATGGTGCATATTAAGCATATGGTTCAAACATTCATCACACCTTTATAATAAATATAGACAGTGATTCTTAAATATACATTATATAAGGATTATGTTGTAGTACTGAAATCAAGCGAAGAAGTTCTTACAAACATATGGTTACAACTACTTTATTAGTGACTTATGACAGCATTGTGTACCAGAGATTGTTGGCTTCTTGGGCTCAATTATGTCTGCAGACTAATGGAGATAATTTCTAACATTCTTAAATTTTTGTAAACATTAAGATATGTTGAAATCTAATGAATCAATTCACTCCGGAAATATGATAATTGTCTCAGTTTATTTTCAAACACTTCCTGTTGTTAGTAACAGTAATGTTTACAAAAGTTCTTGAAAATGTTCTACATGTATAACTGAGCCCCATTATGCCAAGAATTCATGATACACAATGTTGTCATATCTCACTAATAAAGTAGTTGTAACCATATGTTTATGGAACTTCTTGGCTCGATTTTATGAGTAGTCCTTATATTTATTGTTTGTAATTAAGAATCAGTCTGTACAGAATAATGTATGTACCAAAATAAAATAATAAAAGGCGTTTATTCTGTGTTTCCTCTTTGTCTACTCTGGTCACCTGTCTTGTACATTTATGTTCATTCTTCTTGATTAATTTGTCTTCATTACAGCTGGTTTCTTGTGACGTACCTCTTTTTGGCATTGATTTTTAGCTTGAACCATTCTTCCTCCAGGAACACAGTGTCACGGAACAGTTGCTTGTCTCTTGCAAAATGCGCAGTTGCCCCTTCACTCCTTGGCTATCACCACAGCAGCCTGCAAAATTGAAGCTTCACATAATGGCACTGACAGAAATTCTTCACACTTTGTTTTTTTAATATATGTATACACATACATACACATCTAACAAGTTCAGTGTGATTTGTTTTTCACTTACAGCTGTAAAACTCTTATTTTTGTAATTTAGGAATTTATGAAACCATTTCTTCTTTTCTCCTATTTGGAGCATTGGAAGTTAGCATGTTTCCCATGTCATGCATCTTCTGTCTAGTGAGATGGTGAAATGGAACAGTTGCCCTGTGCTCACAGTAGAATTACAATAAAGGGAACAAACTTGTTAACTAGATGGCTGTCATGGGTTGTGGCACTCTGTAGTCTGGTAGAAGTTTACCAACATTCTAGAGGGCCTTGCTGCAGCCATCATCAAGTGATGAAGGCATCACTGGATGATGGAGGCACTCATTGCCATGAGAACCTCAAATCCTACTGTATTTAAGTTAATTTCCATCTCTGGGGCTTGCACAATCTCCTGTTAAATGGGTACTGGGACTCTTTCCTCACCATTAAAAGAGCCAGGGCTTGAAGTTGACCTCTCACCTCTTATTACCAAGGTCATCACTGTATATCCTCACTTCCTTGTACCTTGCAGTGCTCGATTAACTAGTAGAGATAACAAATGACAAATGTAAGAACAAGGCGATAATACTTACACTGCCCTTCCCACTTTATTTCCTTGTGGATAATGTGGCTGAAGCATGAAGCTGATTTCTTCTCCATCTATGGCTCTCCGGTCCGTATTCG